TGGCCTCTTTAGGGGATGACCTCAGGTGCAGGGCGTCCCGCGCAGCCCTGCCAGGGTCCCGGTGGCTGCCCGGCCTCTCCTGCTGCGCACGGGCAGCCTGGCAGTGGGGCCGGTGGGCAGAGCCGGCAGCTATTCCCGGCAGCGGGGACACTGTTCAGCCCCCCTGCACTGTGCTTTGAAAGATGAGGCCCGTGCTGCCCTGTGCCGGGACAGTTAATGCCCTGGGCACCGGCTCCCGGCACAGGACCTGGGGGAAGGACAGATGGCCTTGGGTGCCCTGTCCCATGGGTGCCACAGCCTCCAGCTGCAGAAAGGTGCCATTTTCACCAGGACAGGTGATGGCAGCTGCAAAGGTGGTCCCGGGACTGTCCCCCCTCCATGGACTGTCTCACCTGGCCCTGGGTAACACAGGCTGAAACCTCAGAAGAGGAACACCAGGAAAGTGAGGTGGTGGCCCCACACCAGCAAGCAGACAGGGCAGGCAATAGGATGATGGTGGCAGTGCTGGGGAATGCTGCAGGCAGGCAAAGAGCCCAGGCTGACAGGGCAGGGTTGGGGTGGCACCAGGGAGTGGAGCTGGGGCAGCCCAGCTCTCCTTGGCCACCCCATGCGCATCCTGACATGAAAGCAGACATAGGATCCCCCCCCCCCCCCCCCGCCCCAAGGGCCAGAGGAAGGATGAAAAGGCTTTATTGATAAATACAGACTATGTACAGAGGGGAGACATCTCCACTCAGCCCAGCACCCTGGGGCCTCCTGGCCATGGGGAGCAGGAGCCCAGCAGGTCACAGCCTCTCCCTGACAGCTCAGCCCAGCAGAGGGGCCTTAGCCACACCAACCCCCCAGAGACATTTGGCCTCAAACCTCCTGCAGCAAACACAGCATGTGCCCACGTCCCCAGCTGAGAGGGACCACTGCGGTGGCACAGCCCCATGCAGCCCTTCCTGGGGGGTGACCCAGGCTGGGGGCAGCCCCTGCTCGGGCAGGGCTGGGACATGGCATGGGGTAGCCCCAGAGGTGCCACTGCACCCCAGCCCCCTGCCCTCTCCCCGCAACCAGTGCCGGGGGGCTCAGTTCCTGGGCGGCAGGGGCTGGTTGACAATCACTTGCACAACAAAATCCTTCTGGATCTTTGTCTCCTGCAGCCGCGTGCGGTCGGTGAGCAGCTTGCCCGAGAAGAACCAGCGCTGCCAGGCCAGGTCAATGCCCTCCTGTGCCTGCAGCTGCTTTTTCAGCTGCCCGATGGTGTCACCCATGCTGGCGTTGAGCCGCAGGTCCTTGCCGGTGGAGAGCCGCACCTTGAGGGCAAACTCCCGCCGGGCATTGGGCAGGGGCTCGGCTGGCTCCGCTGCCTCCTCCTCGCTCCGCTCCAGGATCAGGTTGACAGGAGGTGCCAGACAGTAGACGGGCAGCTGGTACCGGTTGCCAAGCTCATCATAGCACTCCGTCAGGGACCCTGGGGACGGTGGGGTGAGATGCTGTGGGTAGGCATCCCCATGGATGGGTATGGGGCCAGCCAGGCAGCGGGGCAGAGTCTACCTTGCCCCCCGTGGCTGGACTGAGCTGCATGGATGGCAGCCGGGAACCTCTCTCCTCTCCAACTTGGGACCCTGATGTGCCCAAATATGGGGCACTCAGCACCCACCCACCCACAGCCCCAAAGCCATCCCTCACCATGGGGCAGGGTGATGCTGGCTCCATCGAGGATGGCCTGGGCCAGGCTGTGGTCGTTGGCCTCCACGGCATAGGCAGCTGCCTTCAGGGCATCCCAGATCTCCTTGCGGCCCTCGAAGGCAGGCGCCGTGTCCCAAAACTCATCCCGCTTGCTGCGCAGCTGCCCGTCTGTCATGGGGTAGTCACTCTTCCATTTGGGACGTTCCTTCTTCAGGGGCTCATTGCGGCCTGGGGAGAGGGTGGGATGCTCAGCTGAAGGATGGGGCGCCCCTTGGGCCACGAGCCCCCCAGGCCCCCCTCCCCATGGGCTTCTGGGGGCACCATGCACAGCGTTGTCCAAGAGACTGCCCTGCCCAGCACAGGGCAGGACAGCCCCCAACACAGCCAGGGGGAACGTGGCTAAAGCCAGCTCTGCCCAAGGTCCCACTGGCCCCATAGCAGCTGCCCTCCAAGTGGCATCCCTTGCCCCGTGGTAAGGGGATCAGCCCCTGCCCCGCAGGGTGGCTGTGGGCCCTTGGGGCCCTTTGAGGCAGAGCTGTATTTATAGCTTGGGGAATTAGCCAGGAAATAAGCCGGTGAGTCGGAGCGGGAAGAGGATTATGGGGGCTCAGCTGCAGCCCTGGCGGGGGTGGGCAGGACTTCTCTGTCCTCTCTGCCCACCCCAGGGTGGCAAGGACCAGCTCTGGACAAGATGGCGGGCACACAGCATCCAGGGCATCGGGGGGCAGAGGGCTTCACTGCGGGGGTGCTGCCAGCCTGCAGCAGCCTCAGCAATGGGCTGAACTGAGCAGGCTCTCCATGAAGCGTCAGCAAGGGGCGGAACTGAGCAGGCCCTCCATGAAGCAGCCCCCAACTATGTTTCCAGTGACCCTCAGCAGCTGACACTGCCCAGGGCACAGCAGCAGATGTCTGGGCCACCCCCCATGCAAGCCCCACACTGCCCTGCCTTTCTTACACCAGGCTGCAGCCCCGTGGGAACAGCCCCATCCCGTCAGCCACACGGCTGGGCCGGAAGCATGGGGTAGGAAGGAGCTCTTGTCACTCCCAGCTGAGCAGGGGACAATGAGTGACAACAGCTCCTTCCTGCCTCCCCTCTCTCTGGGGCAGCCAGCCAGCACCCTTCCTGCGGGGACAGGACACGGGGGATGCAGAGCCCCAGCCCG